TATAAATTTGGGGGTTAGTCAACAACCCAACCCTGAGCCAACTTGTAGTCCAGATTTTATTTTTTAATTTTTTTATCTTTGGTACTAGGGATTGAACCCAGGGGTGATTAACCACTGAGCCACATCCCCAACCCTTTTTCATTTTGAGTCCAGGTTTTGCTACACTGGTTAGGGCCTCACTAAGTTGCTGAGGCTGGCCTGGAACTTGTGATCCTTCTGCCTCAGCCTCCTGAGTTACTAGGGTTCCAGGTGTGCACCACTGTGCCCAGCTGGTAGCTCAGATTTTAAAGAGCACTAACCGGTCCTCCCAAGTGCCATCAGTCCTCCCTTTCATCCTATTTTGTCATCTTCAGACCCTCGTGATGATGTCGTATCACCTCCTCCCATTCACATTGTGAGGCCATTGACTTTGTCAGCTGCTGTTTCCTGCCCCCTGCCTGAGATGATGCAGGATCCACAGTGCAGCTCTTACCACTCTGGATCCTTCAGGGAGGCACCTAACAACATCAACCTAATGTCTACACCCACTTAACACACAATCCCACTGGGAGTCTATTACACACTTAAAATACTTAAGACCCCACAGTATCATTTAAAGCCAAATCACTCCATTCCTCTCTTTTTATACTTTAAAGAAAACAGAGAGACACCCTCTCGTGGTCTGAGAGTCACAAAATTGGGGTGGCAAGAAATGAGAGTGGCCATACAGAGGCCCCCTCATGTGCAGGGGCAGCAGAGCTGTAGGCAGTGTGGAGTGTCTGGGCATCCATGCAGAGCTGTGGGTGCTGATGGTGCTGGTTCTGAGGACTCAGCAGCTGTTCGGGATAAGCCAGCTCAATATCTTGGCAGAGACTTTGGGGTCTCTATGGGCTTTGCTCCAATTCCAGGCTCTCAGAAGAATGGTAAGGGGAGGGAGAACAGAGGAGATGAATGAGAGAAAAACTAGAAAAAGGGTTGTGTTGATACTAGAAAAAAATGAAAGCTGTCCGGGAGTTTATGTTTGCATGGTAGAATACAAATACCTTGACCTGGTGCTGTTTAGCATCCTTCTCTGACTACCTTCCAAAATCACACACACACACACACACACACACACACACACACACACACACCAGACACAGCAACGCAAAACCCTGGTCTGGAAAATCTTTCCACTGGAGCATCAGCAGCATGCCTTGTGATGACAGGTTTAATGGTTTTATATCTCTGCATTCCACTGAGACCACCTACCAAGAGGCCACAGCCCACTGACCTGCCTAGCCAAGGCCTGAGACTAAGCTGGAACACCAAGGGCAGAGCCAGGAGTTGGGAGAGTTGCCTTCTGCTCTGGCTGATTCACACTGACTTGCTGTGTGACTTCATTCATGTTGCTTGCCCTCTCTATAATTCTGAATTGCAAATTATAAAATAGAACTGATGGTTCTAATCTCTTAGAAACCTCCCTAGAACAGAGTAAATTATGGTCGTCAAGTGCTTGTGCTTCTATGAAGTAAGAAACTCAAGAAATCCAGTGTTTTTATCTTTTTTCTCATTGAGATAGGATTTCAGATACTAAAAGCCTATACTAGTCATTAGTAGACACTTCACCAGAAAGAAAGCATAGAAAGCAAAGGGATCCACAAAAGAGGGAGAGCCTATGGTAATTTTGGCCAGCAACCTGGATCAGAGGGTGCAGATGACATTTTTCTGTCTTCTAATTCCTCTTTCCAGTCTGATATCTTTCTGAGACACTGGTTGGGTGGGCCACAGGATGAAACAAAAACCATCAGAGTTGCTCTAGTCTGCCTGTTGGCAGTACRTGGATCAGGGCAGAAAAGAGCAGCCTATTTTATTATTTTTTTGTTTGACCATTTGAAGGAAGCCATAAACTATGTAATCCCAGCAGCTGGGGAGGCCGAGGCACAAGGGTCACAAGTTCAAAGCCAGCCTATGTAACTTAGCAAGGCCCTGTCTGAAAATAAAAAAAAATAAATAAAAAGGGCCAAGGATGTGGCTCAGTGGTTAAGTACCTTTGGGTTCAATCCCTGGTACAAAAAAAAAAAAAAAAAACAGCAAAAATCTATTAGCATACATTTCTACAGATCAGAAACCCAAATTGGGTCTGCCAGGTGAAAGACAAGGTGTTGTTGACCTGGCTATATTCCTTCCAGAGGTTCTAGGGGAGGCCACCCGCAATTCCTTGGCTTGTGGCCCCTCCCTCCATCTTCAAAGCATTGTTGCTCCAGCCTGTCTCTGTCACATTTCCTCTCTTATCTGACCTCCTGCTGCCCTGTGTGAGGACTCTTGGTTAAACTGGGATCCAGCCCTGCCTTTGTTGGGTTTCTGAGGACTTCTCATGAAAGGGAGGTGTAGTCATCACTGGAGCTGACAGCCACTGGGGCAAATACRTAGGCTGGTCTGTGGAACTTTCCTTACAACAGGAGGCAACAGAACATTACAGGCCTCTTGACACCCCTCCCCACAAAAGGGTTGACAAGCCCAGAAAGGATCAAGTCCAGAAATAAAAAGAAGAGGGCCCTGATATGCCTGGATTATAAGAAACTCCTGATAAGGGTAAGAGCAGCATCAGGCTGAGGGGACGTAACAGCAATCTGGTTGACAATGCTCCTCTCTGCCTTGACTTCAGCCTCACTTCACCAAAGCCCGTTGCGCTTTCCATCCCTTCATGCCTTTATTTTTAGTTTGGGGTATTTTCTATTGTTTGAAGGTTGCCTTGCAACCCGTTTGCCTTGAGGCTTTAAACAATATAGAGTTTCTTCGCTGAGGAGCAACAGTAGCCAAGAGAGACTGAATATAAACTTTTAAGTCTATTTTCTCAGAGTTTGTACATCAGCAATGGCTTTAAACGGAGTAGCTCTCGCCCCCAGCTTGCCTGTCCCTGGGGGAGGGGAGAGGGTGGCTGATGGGGAACATGTTGTGTTCTCTTATCTTCCACGCTAGTGGAAGGGGATAAGCACCAGAATAGGAAAACAAAATATCTAGCTATTAATATACTCTAGTCCTCCAGCACATGGACTGGATCTGTTTATTTGTGAAAGGCAAGGGTGCTTCTCCCTGACCTTTTGGAGCTCTGCCGCCAGCTGGGCGGGAAATGGTGGAGGTGATACCGTCCATAAGGTGAAGGGAACAGAACCAGAGCCGAGGGTCCCATGGAAAAGAGAACTCTTCAGACTTGTGTCAAGAAAAGTGGCTTTTCTGGCTCAACCTGCCTCAAGCCCCAGCCACCCCATTCAGGGAATTACCAAAGAAAGCAAGCACGAACTAAGAGGATTTACCATGAGAGAGTGGCCCGGCCCCACTCCCACCACACAGATGTCTCCACCACGTTCTTTGTGTGCAACCCAGGGAACCAGAGAGAGAACTGGGCAACCTCGCCAGAAGAGAGAACACACAGGTTCCTCAAGACAACCACTTATTTGGCAGTGAGCAAGGCTAAAAATGGAATGCTTCCCGGCTCCAGAGGACAGGGGGACAGAGGAAAGCAACCCTGTGCAGCTCCGATCCCGGGTCCTACCTCAGCCCCTTCGTAGTCTGAGTGAAGGAGTGCTGGGTGGCAATAGTTTTCTAGATGGTTAGTTAATGATAAGCCTTCAGCTGGGAAGAGCCAGAAAGGGGAGATTTTGTCTGGGGTGGGGAGCATGCCCATGCCTCTTAAGCCTGTTGTGTCACGACAGAGGTTCCACAGCACACTTTGACTGCCTAAAGAGGTCTGTCACCCACCAGGGTCAGGCCACCTCAGGTCCCTGAGACTGTGTGACCAACCAGAAGCCCCAGCTTAAGCACTGGGAAAAGAGAGCAGCGTTGGCAAGTCCGGCCCTCTCCAAGAGCAAACAGGGACAAAGGTCCTTGTACTTACAGCTGCTTCTCCCATCCTGCCTGCTGTGTCACATGCCCCARTTTGTCCTGGTGTTGCTGCATTAGGCAGAAACCTGCCATCTCTGTGCCTGCGGGGACACCCACTATCCCAGGTCCGTTCCCAGGCGGGATACCTGAGCAGCAGCAAAGGCTTTGGCATCCAATAGCTTTGAAACAGAAGCTGCCGTGTCTTCACCTGTTCAGTTGGGAGCCAGATGTCCTGAGCTATCATCAAAGAATGCACGAGAGGAAAGAATTTGAATAAAAGCTGGCTCCCCTACCTGTCTGAAAAAAAGCGGGGCTCCCTGTGTAAACCCCAGCTTGACAGGCATTCTCAGAATTTGAGCAAACTCCCTTTGTGATTATTTCTTATACTACATTTTATTGTCACCCAGTGTGTTTGAATTTGTCTCTGCTCCAGCAGGTCTGGAAACCCATTGGATTTCTGTGTGATAATTCAAACAAGCGGAGGCCATGGAGTTTGCCAAGTGTCGCTGGGCCCGGCACCAACTTGACAGGATAGAGGGCAGGAGAAAGAAGGCTTGGACGTCATGAATCATTGAGGCTCTGGCCCACAGCCTTCCTCCTGGGATTAGTATCAGGAGTGTCGTGGTTGTTTTTCCTTCTTTGTACCTAAGAATGGCCCTCAGCCCCAACTGACGGGGCTGGGGCTGTCGATGCTGACTTCACTGACTTCCATACAGAGCGCTCCATGTGATGATCTTGTTTAATTTCTGCCTGAAACCCATGAGGTAGAATCAGCACTGACCCACTTATAGGTGAGGACCAAGGCTCAGAGAAGTTGGGTAACAACGTCTGAGTTGATCTGCTTTGTGTATCTGCAGTTGTGACTTGCTAGCACCCTGTTCTAAAAGGACAAAAGGAAAGAATATGAGGACAATGTCTCTGTGGGCTGCAGTTATGCACAGTCTTCTTAGAGGCTGGGAAAGGGGAAATACTGGGGAATGATACTGGCCAAGTTATACTGTTATATCTTGTGCATAAGATGTAATAATGAATCTCACCATTATGAACAATTATAGTGCATCAAAAAATATGGATAAAATGAAGGTAGTTTAGAGTTTTAAAAAATAAAGTTTATTACTTTCATTTGGAAAAAAAAAAAAAGAGGCAGCAGTAGCAGCAGCAGCTAGGGCCCTCTTGATTTATACTCCACAGGCCGTCGGAGGAAGTTGTTTAGCTTCTCAGGTGATAGATGAGGGCTGGGTCCCTTCTGTTTGCAGAGCGTGCTTTGAAGGGTAAGTCAGGACAGCATCTCTCCTCTGGTCCCCATCAGGGACTCCGCAGGCTGAGTGCTGTGGCTATGTTTATATCATTATTTTTAAGGCACTGGTACCAGGGCTGCAGCTCTAAGCCCTCTCTTCCTCTAGCCACCCTCCATATGGAAAGAAGCCAAATGGGAGCATTTCCCCAACCATTTCCCCTCAGGGCAGCTGGTACCAACTTGAAACCTAAGACATGCAACACTACAGCCCAGCTGAAATCTGGTCAAACCATGCTTTTGTAGACACAGCAGGAAGCTATTCTGTGGCCTGGTGTCAAGAACCCCCTCAGGGCCCAGGGGTACTCTATGTCCCTGGTTTGCCCCAAGGAGTCACCTGGCTGGTGAAGCATCTCAGCACTTGCTCTCAGACTGAGACTGTAGTCARCAGATTACTGGAAGAGAGGAAAAAGGATTCCTGGGATTTTAGTGTGTTATTCAGAGTCTTTTCTGGGAAAGCCTCTTTGGAAAAGGAGGATAGTAGAGGAGTTTCTAGGGAATGGAAACAGCCCCCTCTATTTGCAACTGTGACAGCGGAGTGTCAATTCAATGTGCTATCCCAGCCCAACCAGCTACCGGCTGCCTTCAGAGCAGCTATGCTGCCCTCATCTTGGGGAACTCTTCTATGGATGTGCAGTGCTGGTGAGGGACCCCTGGCTTTCCTGGCTGTCCCACAGGCCCCAGGACCCACAATCTAATGCCCCCAAATAGTGCCGGAGTTTGATTCTATCCTGCCAGCCACCTAGGCTGCATACCTCAGCCTTGCCCACACTGTTTCTGAGTTACGTCCACTGGCAGCGGGCACCAGCTCTCATTCCCCATGACCTGATATCCCCTGGTTAATAAGCAGCTCACATAAAGACACCACGCAGTGTAGCAAGAGGCAGAGAAAGACTGCAGCTCCCTGAACGTGAGCCAGGAAGCCCTGGACTTGGCCCAGGAACTCAGTGGCTGTTTCTGTTCTCTGCCCTTTGGTAGCCTTCCTCAGGGTTATGGAGCAGGGGGAAGCTTGGGTCCCCACCCGAAACCATAGTAGACGGCAAGTCTGTGAGGTATTTATTAATCAGTGGGAGATTGCTGTGGACCTTCCTGGCGGAGTATCAGTCCTCTTTGCTAAAGGAGGCCAAAGTTCTGCACTTCATTTCTTCAAGTCTGTTTCTGCAAGAGCCTTAGGTTCCTGCTAATTCAAACCTCAATCTCCTATCTTCCCACTCGATGGTCTCTATGAGCTGCCCAGGTAGCACTCTTCCTACCCACATCCCCCCAATCTCCTGTACCATTTTATCTCCTGGGTTTGGAAATGTCCTTGAGATGTCCTTGTAGAAGGAAACAGGAGTGTGTGCCAGACAGTCCCGTCCTTGTTGCTTTGGTTTGAATCCAACCCCACAAGGGGAGCTGGAGCCCTCTCCCTGGGCCTGCCCATTGTCAAGGTCCTGGTCACCTTTGAAGCCTCCTACAGGGATCCCCTTTGCCAACGGAGCCTTTTCTAAAGCTCAGCAGCATGACATTTTGGACTTGGAAATCCCTAGACAAATATGTCTCACTTAATCCTCCCCAAGTTGGCCCCCAGTGGAGGTACTGGCTTAGCCAAATTTATCAGATACCACTGGTCCCTGTAGCAAACATTCCCTTTGTTCCAGGCATTGTGTTTGGGCCTGAGCATACAGGGCAAACAAGGTAAAGTCCCTGTCCTTGAGAAGCAACCAAACTGTTGGAAGAGACACACAGAAAACAGAGGGTCCCCCTCATTCTAGATGCCTCAGACCCAACTCTTGACTCACCCAGCCTCTCCACATCCCTCCTTTCTCGCCTTTTACCAGCTCTGCAACTTCAGATTATTTGCTCACTCTGAACCTCAAGTTCCTCATCTGAAAAGTGGAGTTATTAGTCTACTTCATTCCTAGGGGCAATGTGAGGATTCAATGAAATGTATTTGTAAGGAACGCAGCAGGAACAGGCATGTAGCAGAGCCTGGCACATAGGACTGAGTCAGTGTTGGCCGTTACTATWTTCTCCTGAGTATAACATTTGCCAGGAAGAGTGGTAGAATCAGGCAGAACCAGACTGGGATCCCGGTTCTCCCATGTTCTAACAACTAACTGTATGTTTTTGGCCAAAATAATCTCTCCAAATATCAATTCCATGAGTAATGATGATTTGTTCCCAACAATAAATTAGTTTAGCTGAGCTCAGTGGCACCCACATGTAAGCAACTCAAGAGGCTTAGGTAGGAGGATCATAAGTTGGAGGCCAGCCTCAGCAACTTTTTGAGACCCTGTCTCAAAATAAAAATAAAAAGCCCTGGGGGTATATAGCTTAGTAAAAGAGTACTTGCCTAGCAGGTGTGAGGTACTAGATTCTAACTCCAGCACTGAAAAGAAATTAGTTAATATATGTGAAAGTACCTAACACACAGCAAGAGTTCCACACATGCAGCCTCCAGGAATTCCCAAAGACTCTGAAGACCCTAAAGCTTCAGAGGGGCTGAAGAGACGGAAAGAAGCCAGTGCCTCCCTTAGCAAATGTCCCCCATTCTCTTGGTTACTCCTCAGAGCCTGACCCTCCCTGATTTGGTTCTCATTCTCCCAGAGAAGCACATTCCCTGATAAACTGTTCCCTCCTCTGTCCTCTGTGCCTCTGTACTAAGTGCCAGGAGGCCCTGGTGCTGTCCACACTCAGTCATCGCCCGCCTGGGATGGGCATTCGGCTCCCCTAATCACTCACCACAGCTCAACCACCCGCTCCTCACCGCCCCCACCTTATTCCCCCAGCTCCTTAATCAAATTAAGGGAAAGAAGAGGGTTTAGATAGGGTTACTAAATATATTTCTGTTCAGGGGACAGAGAAAAAGAGAAGAGTTTGGAGGAGGAGGTAGGGTGTGAAATTCCTTAATGGAATGTGCCCCTAGAGCCTCCTCTCCCTAGAATAAGCGAGAAACACCAAGGGGGCAGAGTTTGCCCTGTGTCAGAGTGGCACATACATTCTCTCCTGGGGAGAGATACAGCTGGTGGCAGAGAGCCTGCTTCCCAGAGAGGTCTGCCGAGGGCACTGGGCCTCGTGATCTGGGCTGACCCTGGTCTATATATTTCACAGGACACCCTGGCTCCTGTGAAAAGGGGGTGACTCGGCCCTCTATGGAGCAGGACACCAAGGCAGGGGCTCTTCACAGCTGGGGGTCATAGTTTACCCTGCTGTGTCCTCCCCACACCACCAGATTCTAGAACTTTTGGAAATATTTACTGTTTAAAAACTTTAAAGTGCTTACTGCAGAAATCTTTGAAAAGATACTGGAAGTATAAAAGAGAAAACAACAAGAACCTGTAATTCACAGCCTAACCACTGGTAGTATTTTGAGGTTTGTCCTTTAGTCCTTTAAACGTTTTGAAACACACTCATATGTATTCTTGCAAAAGTGTGTACGTTGGAAAGTTGATTATATATATGTGCATTGTTTGTAATAAAAGCTTGCTTTTATATTTAGTTTATTATTTTGTATAGTTTGTATAGTTTATTATTTTTGGTTCCAATTCATCAGAAGTTCTTCTGAAATATTTTAAAATAGCATAAATTGGGATTTGTCCCATATTTAAAAATTAAACACGACTGTTATGAGATGATCATTGCTCATGTTTTCTGGCCTTCTAAGCCAGAAACTCTGCTAAATACTTCATACACACTGTCCCTTTTAATTCTCAGAGCAACTCTCCAAGGCAGATACTGATAAACTCATTTTATAGATAAGGATAATGAGGCTCAGAGAGGTGAAAGAAGTTGTCCTCAGTCCCTCAGAACTGAAAATGCCTCCAGGATTTCACAACATGGACACATAACGTCATTGGAGCATAATGTCTACACCAACGGACATTTTTAATGAGTACATAATATTTTCCAGTATGGCTTTATCATGATGAACCAGGCTCTTTTTGTTAGACATTTAAATTGGATTTTATTAAGCTGTTTTTGTTGTTGTTGATGTTATTTTTAGAACTATTATAATGACCATTGTTGCTTAAAATCACCTTGGTTCACACATCTCTCATTATTTCTTTTTTTTTTTTATAAATTTATTCTAATTTGTTATCTATGACAGCAGAATGCATTATAATTCATATTACACATATAGAGCACAGTTTTTCCGTATCTCTGGTTGTATTCAAAGTATAAATTCACACCATTAGGTGTCTTCTCATTATTTCTTTAGCATCATTTCCTGGAAGTGAAATTACTGAGTCATCCTTTTAAAAGTCTTGTTACGTGTTACCAAGCGACTTCCAGAAAGCCAACATGCACTCCCACCAGCAGGTGAAGAGAGGGCCCTCTTTAAAACAATTCCATTGGGTAGGTGGACATTCTGCCTTTGACTCAATTTACATTTTCTTGATAACTAGGGAGGCTGAACTTTTCTTTCTTGTGTTTATTAGTCAGTTGTAAATCCATGAGTAATTATCTCAGCAATTTTGTCATTCCTGCTGACTCTTGCCTCTCCCATCCCCCCATCTCTCTCCCTTTCTCTCTTTCCCTTCCCTCCCCTTCCTTTTCCCTTCCTCTCTCCCTTCAATCTCTTCCAGCTACTTTAGGAGTCATTATTTGGGGGAGGAATGTTTTCTGATCCACATACCCAACAGAGGCAGAACTTCAGTTTTTTTATTTTATTTTATTTTCAGTTTTTGGCGGACACACCATCTTTATTTTATTTTATGTGGTGCTGAGGATCGAACCCAGCTCCCCGTGCATGCCAGGTGAGCGCATTACCGCTTGAGCCACATCCCAGCCTTCTAGCTGCTGCAGAACATACTTACAGGGTATAGAATCAGGCAGGCTTCTGCCAGAGAAACAGGACCGGTGTGGAGACAGAGAAAGAGATTTATTGCAAAGATTGGCCTCTGTGGTCCTGGGGACTGGTCAGGAAAATCTGAATTCCCTCAGGCAGACCATCAGGAGGGTCAGGCTGGAGCCTCTCAGGCAGGAAGTGAGGTGTGTCTGCAGGTAGAATTCCTTCTCCAGGGAAGACTCTGTTCTGCCCTTGATGTCTTTCAGCTGATTCTGGAATAAACTCCATAAAGTCAACTGATTATGAATATTAATCATCTGCAACCTACACAAAAACAACTAGATTAGTCTCCAAGGTTGGAGACTGTAGCCAAGCCAAGTGGACCATCAGAGGTGCTGGTCAAAATGGCAGTGGAAAGAGATAAGGAGGTCAACAGGGTTTTCTAGAACACAAGACTCATGCCACTTGAGGTGTGTGAAATGATGGCACACTTTAACAGAATGAGCAGAGACTGGTAACACTAGTACATCTTCATGTATTTATGCATTTGTTGTATTTTTATTGTTTTGATTGTGTATGTGTGTGTGTGTACACCAGGGATTGAACTTAGGAACACTCAACCACTGAGCCACATCCCCAGCCCTATTTTGTATTTTATTTAGAGACAGGGTCTCACTGAGTTGCTTAGAGCCTCAATTTTGCTGAGACTGGCTTTGATCCTCCTGCCTCAGCTTCCTGAGCCGCAGGCATGTGCCACCATGCCCGACTATTGTTTTGTTTTTTTTTTTAATAGTTGTAGATGTACAACAGGCCTTTATTTGATTTATTTTTTTATGTTGTGCTGAGAATCAAACACAGTGCCTACACATGCTAGGCAAGTACTCTGCCATTGAGCTACAGCCCTAGCCCTATTGTTTTGTTTTTATAATCATTTTCTGTATAAGATAAGAGATCCTGGTTTTCTATTTATTTATTTATTTTTGGTACCAGGCATTTGGTACCAGGGGTGCTTAACCACTGAGCCATATCTCCAGCCCTTTTTATTTTTTATTTTGAGACAGGGACTTGATAAGTTTCTTAAGGTCTTGCTAATTTGCTGAGGCTGGCTTTGAATTTGCRATCATCCTGCCTCAGCCTCCTGAGCTGCTGGGATGAAAGGCATGGGCCACCATGCCCAGCTCTTTTTTTTATCATATTCAAATGTTTCCTTTTAAAATATATTTAAGCTTTAAAATATGTACTGATGGAAATAAAAATCATGCATAAATAACAGAAAGGAGGTACTTGGGTATGCAAAAGTCACCAGGCAACAAGTACAGGAGGGAGTGAAGCTGAGGAAGCTCAGTCACAGCCAGGCAAGGACCTGAGAGGACTGAAGAAATGTCTTTGACTTTCAAATCCAGGTATGGTAAATAGGGGTCTATTTTATTGTTTTTCTTTACTTTTGTTATTTTTTTAGGAAAAGCCTAAGGTCCTAAGCCAGTAGTGTGAATGAGATAAGCCAAGGTGGGGAAAGATGATGGGCAAGGAAGTCCCGTCAGTGTCTTGTGACAGTTCTGTGGAGGCAGAGCCCGTTATCTTTGCCTGTTCCCAAATTTTCCAGCTGGGGTCTCTCTGGGAGAACCTAAGGCAGTTCAGGATAGGTCAGCAC